CTAGACTTATCCAATGGTTGTGAACATTTAAAACTAACACGAGTCTCATTAAGTGTCCAGTTTTAGGGTCTTACACAGAATCATACCAAACAACATGAATCAAACATGCACTTTATTTATTTACACTAAATGTCAAAAGTACATCAAATCAGATTGAAGCTAAGGGCATACAAAACTGTCTAATAGATCAACTCCCACGGAACCATAGAGGGCTTAACTTGTGGGGGTAGCCTCACTGTCTGTTGGTCGTCAACTCTCGTAAAGAGCATGTAGGGCTCAACACGTAGGAGCGGCCTTATAGTCAAGGCTAGGAGATTTTATTTGGGCAAGGCTGCTGGAACTTATTTGGGACAATCATTTTGATTCTACCCCCTGGGGGGTTCCTTCGATCTAGGCGTTGATGTTGTTGCTTGAGGATGCCATTACTTGAGGCTTAGAGAATGGGTGAGAACTTAGCTTTTGTGTTGCGGTTCCCACAGATGACGCCAATTGATGATACGCAATTTGGTGCTCCCTACTGGAGGACAACTTGGACGTTGGGCTTGAGGTTGCCTTTTCTCTCAGGGAGGAGATGAAACCTTTGTATAGGCTTTCTTTGGTGTGAGCTTCATGCACCGCATCCAAGATCTTTGGGAAGACGTGCCTGACCGGTCCGAAGTCCTCGGAGGTAGTCACGCATATAGACCAAGCCTTGTGCCTTATTCGGTTTCCTCCGGAACATTCAGTGCGGGAGCCGACTTTCGAGAGACCTGGGAGTGACATGATGCATGCAAAGGAGGTTGATGAGCACGTCTCGCAGGTCACCACCTGGACCTTAGTCAGGTCGGGCAAGTCCTTGAGGGAGGTCGCTCCTCACGCCAAGGTCACTTCAACCGGTAYTGACAAGGTACCACAGGTAGGCAATGTTGGATTTTAATCTCATTAGGGATTAAATCCAATAGGTTTGATTGGTCAATTACATAAGAATTTTCACTTGCATACGTGTTTTGAAAATAACTTCTTTTCTTAGTAAAAACTGTTTTTAACTTGTCCCACATTGGATATTTACAAGTTTTGTTTGGGTTTTTTAATAGGAGCTGATTTATACTCCTTAGAAATAGAAGATGAGAGTACGAAGACTTGATAGCGCGCAACACGCGTGCATGTGTGTGTGGCGCAATGAGGCGCACTTTGCTCACACTTCGATCGGGTGTGATCAAGAGGGCACAATTTAAAGTTAACAGTCATTAACTGTTAACTACCTTTTAAACTGTCACAATGTTTGAAATTGTGACTGTTCAAGGAGCCTTCTCTGAACCAGCACTTACCTTTTCTTCATAACTCTTCAGAAACTATTTAAGGAGCATGAATCAGACATCTAACACACAACAATTTCGAAATTCATTTTCTTTCTCTCTCTCTCTCTCTCTGTCCGGTCTGCTACAGTCTCACAGAAGGTTTCTTCGGAGACTCTTCAACTTTGCTGGTTGTAGATTCTCGCCCAAGGCTCTGTTGTATCTTGGGAATGGATTTGCCTGTAACCCAACAACAAACTCAATGAATCTGAGTGGGGGCAAATAACATTCTAAAGACAGTGTCTTCAGTCGCGCCTCAGAGCTTCTCCCCTCCAAGTTTCAATGATCCCATTTCTCCAACAGGCAAGTCCTCAAGGATGTCACTTCTCAGGCCGAGATCCATTGGACCGGTAACGACGAGGTACCACAAGTCGACCCTGAATGAGGTGCTGGTAACCACCCTACCAAGGTGCCCAAATTGTGTACGAGGTGCTCGAACTGGTTCTAAGATGTGCCTCCTTGACTTTGTGGGATCCACAGTTGTTCGTGTGACACTAAGGTGTGATGTTGTTGTACCACGTGTTGCTAAGTCAGAGGAGCGCCAAATCTGCCCTCATCAGTCACAAGTAAATGAYGCGACAGCTGCGGGAGGTGAATCGTATGATTTGTAGGTGATGGATTCAAGAGAAGAGGGAGATGAATCATTTATTTGGGGTAGAAGAGTATTTTTGAACATTTGAAAAAAAAAAAAGAGTATATTTGTCCAATTTAACGGCACCACGTAAAGGTCGGTGAGTTTCTCAACTTTCTGAAAACCTGTCATATGTGCAAAAAGCAGCTGATCCCACAGGAGGACATCTGCATGTACAGGTAATTTAATTACAGAACGTTTTCGTCATAATTTAATTAATTAATAAAGCATGCACGGTCCATGAGGCCTTAATTACGTTCGTCTAATACGATTTTGGAATTAATTATCTGGATCGGCGGGCATATAATTGTATAGGGGTAGGGGTGATCAAAGTTTCTGCAGTGTGAAGTGGCGATGCCGGCAAATCCTCCTGGATGAAATGAAAGAGCTGGAGGCTTTTAGGAAACAGATGCTAGCAAATTCTGGCCTCTGTGGAAGTGGAACAACTCGTCTGGCTCAACAATCAGGACCTGGTCGTTCCAGAAGAATTCCTGCTGCTGCGGCATAACCTACACACCTGGTTAATTTTTTGTTAATTAGAAATGTAGTTATAGCTAGCTAATTTCATCATGGTCTTACTCTTACAGAACGTGCTTATTAATTAATTCATCCACTCGCCTCCTAAGTCCTTCTACCTACCCCTACCCCTACCCCCTTTATCAGGAACCCAAATTAATTACTATTTACTACTACAAGTGATGTATGTACGTAGCTCATCAAAAAGGGCAAGCTAAAAACGATGTATGWCAAACTTAGTATATTAATTAATCAAGCCATACAGGAAATTAATTAATGTTGGGGACCGTGTGATACATTTTGAAGCATAAGAAAATGATTTCAAAGCATAAGTGGAAGTGGTTTCTTTCTTTCTATAAAACACATTAATTAATTACACAGCATCTCCGGTGAAATACCAACTTAGGTGGCAGAATATATTTTCTGTGTATTCAAACAAATATCCCTTTTTGAACCCCACGATGTCTGACCTATTATTCTTAGAAATCGATAGAAAATATTGTAAGGGAATTTATGGTTTCTTCGGTTGCCTCCCTCATAAATTCTTTATCAGTTTTGTGAATGTATTGTCCCAAATCTTACTTTTACTACATTATTCCATTGTGAGAGRTTTCTCCACCTGTCACCATTTTCAATTCTATAAGCTCTTAAAAATTTATGAGGTCTAAGAATCAATAAAACTCTTGTTAAAGAAACTACTATGGGATAGATATCATTACTGGGGAAAATGGACAGAGACAACCCACCAATCCTGAGGAGGCATTCTACAACATGAATTATTTTTTTAGTTGCTGTTTCAAAAACAAATCAAAATGATATTGTTTGAAAACAGATTGTTACTTAAAACAAAAATACAACAAACATATTATTGATTGTGTACATGTTTTTTGTTTTTAAAACGGAAACCAAAAATATATTCTTAAATATGGTTTCAAAAACATGTTTTCATCTTATTGTTCAACAAATGTTCTATATATCATATAATTTTTATATTAGAAATTTTGTTTTTATTTTAAAAACCAATATTTTGTTCATTTCAAAAACATGTATTGTTTTTCAAAACAAAACCAACTTATATTTCACTTTGAAAACAAAAACATGTTTTTGTTTTTTCTTTTTTTTGATGATGTGGTGATTCTAAAAACAAAAACATTCATGTTGTAAAACCCCTCTTAAGTTGTATCTGGTGCCTTAAGACTGTGTTTGGTTTGAGGCCCTGTTATTTTTTGGGATTTTAGGTGTGTGTGGGTGGAGGGGAGTTAGGTCAATGAGATTATGGTTCCCATCATGTGYGACCCATGACAAAATTGGTATGAGTGATACCTGACTTATGAAATACTCCCACAGCCACAAGATACATTTAAGCAGGTAAATTTAATATATATATATCATGGTTTTTAAAACCGACCCGATGACCGTACCAGTCAGGGGTCTGGTTATCAGGTCAAACGGTCCGATCATTTGAACTGAATATTTGGTCCATTCTCACAAAAAAATAAAAAAAAAATGATAAAAACTGTTTGAACAGTTCGAACGATTAACCACCCAGTTCAGCGGTTCTCTGACCAAAATCAATGGTTTTGGAGGAAAATCCGGTTTTTGAGGAAAATAGAACCGGTCACCTGACCGATTCCCGGTCTTCCGGTCCGGTCCGGTTTTGAAAACCATGAGTGCAMTTACCCGGAAAATTAGGTTCTTGAAAAACATAAAGGTACGAAGGAAAAGCCGGGGAACGGAGGGAAAGGTATGAAACCTGGRCAAAACTTCTCTTGCCTTTGTTCCCAATGCAAGGCCATTCATGGGAATGCATGGCTGCGATGTGGTATGAGGTTGGAGTAAGGAGCGATCAATGAGTAGCAAATTCGGTTTCCTTCGCTCGTAGCTGAAGGGAGAGCAGATATGAAGCTTGCATATGGTATGGATATGTCTCTGACATGTTGAAAGGACCGGACCTACTTCCTGGGGTACTTACCTACAACACTCTTAGCAGTGCACTTTGTAAAGAAGGGATATTTGATGAAGCTTATGATATCTATAACATGAAGTCAAGAATGGGTGTTAAACCAGATCATCTTTCTTCAAAATGATTTATAGCTAACCAGTCTATAACATGAAGTCAAGCTTATGATATCTATAGCTAACCAGTTACTCATCTACATATGCTAGAAGATTCTGTGAAACCGGTGTCAACCATTTGGAATGTACTGATAGATGGGTATGGGAGATCTGGAAATCTTACCAACGCTCTCCTGGTTAGAAATCAGATGGTAGCATCAGGTGTTGTGCCGAATATCTTCACTTATAATGCATTGATTCATGCACAAATAAAAGGACGAAATATTGTCGATGCACAACCCTTAATGCAAGAGATGCTCTCAAATGGGCTTTTCATTGATACTATAACCTACACCTTGTTAATTGGGGCTGTTTGTAATTTTAGGCATGTTCATTGTGCATTGCAGTTGCACAGTGAAATGCCAAGAAGAGGGTGCCAACTGCCAACCAGATATTATTACATACACTGATCTGATTCAAGGTCATTGTATGGAGGGAAACAAAGGAAGCACATGAGATTTTCATCAAGGTACAAAGATCTGGTTTAGTTATTGACCATATACCTTTTCAAATACTTATTAAGAAGTATTGCAAATTGAACGAACCAGAAAAGGCATTCCAGCTTTACCAGGAAATGGTTGATAAGGGGCTTGCAAGCCATTCTTCAACTTATTATTCCCTAATGTTGGAGCTGAGGGGGGAAGATTTCACTCGAGAAGCAATTCAAGTGTTCAAGAACATGTATTTATTGGGCTTGATGAACTAGAATCCTCTGTCAATCTTGACCTCCTAAAACTCATTCTTGGATATAGTGAGGGTCCTGTCTGCTGCATCTGACCTGATGGAGAGACARCATGATGCAGCTCTAGCTTCAATGGTGGAAACCTGAGGTTAAGCCCTGAAATTGTAGTTGCAACAGAGAGAGGCATCCAGTGGAACTGCAGGATGAAACCGCATTCTGCACATTCTTTTTTCCAGTTGAATTGGTGATGGCCCACAACCTTTTTACCTCGCAAAGGAAGAGTAAAGGATAGACACCAGAAATGAAATATTTGGGAGAAAATGTCATTGTCAAGGCACAGTGAGTATGGTATCTAGGTCTTTTTCTATACATTTTTTTCTTTAGTTTTTAAATTGAAACCAAAATTAATGCTGATGGAATTCATTTGAACATTTTCATTTCCGTCTGGTTGATTCAAACACAACTTTATGAAATTAACTATCTTCATTGAGATTTGAGAACTGATGTACTTTAGATGTTTCCACCCGGAATTTGAGAAACATGGGCCAGCCTTTGATTTTTTTTTTGGTTGAAAATTCTCTCTCTCTCTCTCTCTCTCTCTCTCTTACTTGATTGAAAGTTTATTTTCTTACTCTTATCATAATAATATCATCTATCTTTCATACTTAATTTAAAATTCTGTTTACCTTTTGCATTTTCCATTTTCTGTTGCCTGCAGTGTACATTAGGAGACTTCCTACCTGTTTCACACAAGAAAAAGTAAACATAACTCTTAGGGCATCTTTTTTATGTCATTCTGTTTTAATGTTATATTAACTTTTGAAGCTTATGTAGGCATGGGGCCTAATGATTTGTAAAAATCTGAAGTTCTGAGCATCAGTTTAAAATAAAAGAATATCTTCTCCATTAAACAGTTTCATTTACTCCAGGCATTCATTAAGAATTTTTCTGCTTCAGAATTTTGTTCCACAGCTTCTGTAAGCAAACAATATATTTTTCTAGACAAGTTGTGTATCAGATATCTTTTAAATTTTTACTGGTTATGCATGCCAACATCAACATCCTTGTTTTGTTTACTTTCTGTTTTTTTCTCTGCTCATACTATCAAATCTTCTATCCTGCTGTCATTGATTTCTCTTGCACTTGGAGAATGTTTCTTAGCACCATAATCACCAAATAGAGTTTGGGGATTCTTACCTTATCATGCATGATCAACTTACAACTCAAAAAAGGAAAAACAAAGGTGTTTATACGAAATTGTTTTCATCTTGCTAGGTAGAGTGAATAAACTAAAAACGAGGAGCTACGTTCTTCTTCTTTCAAGTAAAATGGTTGGAAGAGAAAGAGAGGTACCATTTGATGAGTTCAACATGTAGGCTTTCCTAATTCCTACCAATAGGCGAGGTACCATTTGATGGTGGAAGACTGGGGGTTTTGAAGGGATGGGGGTGAGGGTGATTGGAAGCTGTAAGTATGTTTAGATGGTATGGTTTGAATGGAAGATAAAAAGGTTGAGATGATTGGGTTACTGAAATGATAAAAGGAGTCATAAGCCTTCATTTGGGTGCTTTTCTTTTTTTAATTGCAGAATGGATCTTGTTTATCGGATAGAGGGTCCAACAGTTGATAGGGGAGGTAATGATGTAATTTCGGCATAAAGTATGTACCATAAGGAAAATGAACAATGTACCATCTGCTTTTGGATATTTTGGTGATGAGTCATTATCTTGGATTATATCTCTCTTCTTCCTTTTCTTTTATTGAACTTTGTTTCTACTATAAAAATAAAGAAAGTTAACCCCATTTTGTGCATTTCAGTCATGGCCTCATGGGATACAACCTCAATCTCCTTGACTGCTGGTTGTGATCCATTCATGCAATATGTAACCAGAACCTCAGCTTTAGCATATGAGGAGTTTAATACTACAAATTTTCGCTTGATTGAACATGGAGAGAAGTTTGGGGAGATATCTCGTGATGTATATAAGCTTATTGTGGTTTGATGATTGTACCATCTTGGTGCATGGTTTCTCAGGAGTTTTATTGGAGATTCCAAGGATTGCAGAGCAAAGTAATGAACTCTTCTGGGTTTTGGGAACAGGATTGTTTCGTCCATTTCTTGTTTCAACTGCAAACAGGGTAAAAGTGAATGTTTGAGTAGAAATGTTGTCTACTTTAAAGGTTTGCATGATTAC